AGTCTCGGATTCGATTCCCAATCTAGAGTACATGACTGGGTTGCAGGCCAGGTCCCTAGTAGGGGGGTGCAAGAGGCAATCACACATTGTTTCTCTCCTTTCTTTTCTTCCTTCTTTTCCTTCTCTAAAAATAAAAATCTTTTAAAAATATATCAATCTAAGATACACGTCAAATGTTAATATGATAAACTTGTATCAGGCTGAATAGTGTGTTCTATCCTTGCAAAATGAACCACTGTGTATGTGCCAACTAAGGTCATCTGGCAGGAATTTCACTTTTCTATACTGGGAGGAAAATATCATACATTTAATTATCTGCTCTAGATAGCAGCAAGTCAGGTTGGTTCTATTTGACATCCAGCTGTTGCCACACCTGATCTCACAAACAAACTTTTGATTGATTTGTGTAGTCCAAGTAAGTGTAGCAATACTATAAATCTTCCATTACTCCTTGGAAACAGGTAGAAAAATTATTGTATATGGAGGATGTTTACAAAATGATCTAAATTATTCATATGTATCAGTAACCTAAAAAACAAAGCCAAGCAAAAGTTATGTTATTCCTTCTACTCTCTAAATTAAAATTGGGGAAGAGATTGCAAATTGCTTTTCACACATCCACCTTAAACCTAATTTTAGACATTTGAAGATGATACAGTAGAATTTGCCATCCTCAAACTTTGGTAGTTGACTATTTAAAAAAGCCTTAGTTGTCATGGTTATACTAGATTAAACAGCCCTTAGGTCTGATACAGCATTGGCACATGTAGTAAGATACATACTTATATTCACTTGGATGGTCTATATCAGTGACTTTCAGCTGGAGGTAACTTTGCCCCCTAGGAAACATTTTTGGTTGTTATACTGGGTGGGGAGTTGCTACTGGCACCGTCTAGTGGGTAGAGACCAGAGATACAGCTAAGTGGTTTACAATACACAGGACAGCCCTCACAGTAAAGAATTATCTGGCCCCAAATGACCATAGTGCCAAGGTCTGAGAAACCGTCATCTGTGTGGATTTTCTTGTGTTAGAAAAACAAATGACTAAATTCTAGCAAAGGCAGTACAACTACTTTAGAATACCAGTAAAGGGTTTTCTGGTACGTCACTCAGGTAGAATTTTGAATAACTTATAGCTTTAAATTTGCGCTAGGAGGTAAAGGTATATTGTCAACTTTAGAATGTAAAACAGTTTTTTACTGTTATTGAACACATTTTTTAAACTTCTCAGAATTCAATTTATGAAATTTGACATTTAAATTTTTAATTTCCCCTATTTTAAAAAATCTCCAAAGTAAATTTGGCATCTATGTGCTCAGGAGTTGAATAAATGGTACCACACATTTACATGTTGGCCAGAAATAACAGAGGCCTAAGTTCCATGGTCAATAAGTTATAAAAGTGTCCTAAGCCATAACTCAGAATCACCTTCTCAGGTGGCTGAGGCAGTCCTCCATTACTCAAGTTAGGACATTTTCTTCAATATGTTGTACAACTGGTAGGAGACCAGTGTGCTCAGCTACAAAGAAGTTAGATATCCCTTAAGAACTGGCCCAGATAATCAGAACCATGTCACCCAGATTAGAGCAGCTGGTGTTCTTTTCCTACTAGGAAAACTATTTCAGGCTAAGAAAAATGAAGAAATTTAACAAACCAAAGGTAAAAAAGTAAATAAAACCAATTGGCTATATAAAGTCGCTCTTAGAAAGAGGCACAATCAGCTTTCTTGGTAATGGTCCTAAGGGGCCCTTTGGCCCCTGAAAGAGTGATCCTGCAGAAAGTGTGGACCTTCTTTCAGGAATCCAGGATGTGAGCTTGGAAAAAAAATGTAGAAAAGATGCAAAATAAGGCTCTAACCTAGATCTCAAAAAATAACTAAATTACTTATGATAAAGACTCTAATGGTCAGTATATATTAATTCTTCATATTGGGTACACAAGTATTTGTTATATCTGTATACTTTCTTATGTCTGAAATATGATATAATTAAAAATGATACCAAAAAAAAGATAGACTTCTGTGATGTTACACATGAAACAAAGGTATTAAGCTGATGCTTAATCCTTAAAAGCAATAGTAACAGCTTCAGTTAAATGCCAAGTGGCCACTATTGACAAAACTAAAACTTAAAAGAAAATTGGTGTTTAATGCCAATTGTTTTATAGTGTGTACAGAGAAGATTGTTGTGGCAGTTCCCAAAGCAGAACTGTTCATGCTTAAAATCAGGAAAATTTATGAGACAGGGGTATATTTTCAAACTAATTGAGGAATAAAAACTCCCAGAAAAGCCAGAAAAAAGAAAAGCATCAGCAGTAATACAATACAAAGCAATACACATAAACCTGTGTGTAGTCTACACTGCAGTCTACACTGCAGTCTGAACCAGGCCTATGCTTATCCAACCTTATGTCAGCATATTCTTTCACTTGGTAGTAAACAAATGCAGAGATATTCTTTATAAATTATGGATTTATTATTATTCTCTCAATTTTTCAAAAGAAGACATTATGTTATTAAAGTGAAAATTCTGATTTCTCAGGCTAAGAGATAAAAGCTCTTAACTGTGAATTACTAGATCTTAGTCAATATGGCTATCCCAGGGACTTGGGTACAGTTTAACAATCTTTTCATGCACCCTCAGTCACTGACCTTTCCTGTTTTCCAGCATGACCACCTATCTCTATTACTTTCTCTCAGAAGGTCCTCTCATCTCCAGTTTGCTGGCAGTCCCCTGGGCCCCTTCAGAACCCACTGTAAGCACCTCCACTTCTACAAGGCCCTTTCTCCATGACTCCCCAGGTTCTACGCTTCTCCACCTTTGTGTCACAGCTGCTCCTACAGTAAATTCACAGGGTGGTTCTCAGTCGTGAAGGTCATGAGAATCACATGGAGGACCTGTGAAGAAAACAGACTTCCAAGTCCCACTCCCAGTGTCTGATTCAAGGTCTGGGTGCACCCTAAGTATCTGCATTTCTAACAAGTCCCCAGGTGACATAAAGCTGTTGGGTCAGGGACCACATTCTGAAAATCCTATTCTACTATCTGATTACACATTTGTATCTTATTAGGCTGTGAGCTTCTTGAAGGCAGGGAGCATTTCTCATACATCTCATCTGCAGCGTCTAGAAGGCGTCCAGCAGCCATTTGATCAGATAGTAAATAGTGAATGCCTATTATGTGCCAGGCACTGTTGTAGGCAGTGGATTTAGCAGTTAAAAAAAAATCTCTCTATATATGGGGTCTGTCCAGAAAAGTCCAACCATTGTTAATATAACAAGAATGGTTTATGCAACATTGATATAACCTGGCAGCCAAGGGGAGTGGACTGGAATGTGCATGCGTGAATAATGAAGACTTCATTATACTAGTCAGTGGGGGTGGTAGATGCTATTGACTGAGCATGTGTACTGTGTGACTATCACATTCAAAATGACTGAGGGAGCAGAGCAACAAATCTGCATCAAATTTTGTATTAAGTTTGACTATTCCTCCATGGAAACTACTTGGATGATTCAGAAGGCTGCAGCTATGGGCAACTGGTGATTGGCAGCTTCATTACAACAATGTATCTGCTCACGTATCACATCTCCTGCAAAGTGTTTTGGTGAAAACACCAAGTCACCCAGGTGAACTCAGCCCCTTTACAGCCCAAATTTGGTGCCCTGCAACTTCTGTCTTTTCCCAAAACTAAAATCCTCTTTGAAAGAATGTTGATGAGATTCAGAAAAATATGAGGGGAAGTTTATGGACATTGGGAGAATTGTATGAGGTCCCAAGGTACCTACTTTGAAGGGGACCGAGGTGTGATTGTCCTATATATAATGTATCTTGTATCTTCTTCAGTGTTTCCATTTTTCATATTATGTAGCTGGATACCTTCTGGACATACCTTGTATATCTATATGTATATATGTCACTGACCACAGAAAGCTTTCCTTCTGGTACTACACAGTAAACGCTCAATAAATTCTGAAATCTGACCAGTTGTACAGAAGAAAAAATGGCATTATCCTGATCATTTTAATAGTGCTATAGAAGTATCAATTTTTAATTTCCTAATCATACTTTTTCCATTTTTATGTTTCTCCCTTCTGATATCCATCCCCCAAACACCCAACACATGAATCCATAAACCTGGCAATATTCCAAGATTTTGGGTCCTACAAAATACTTACTGATTAATAAAATATTTGTTGGACTTGTCCTGGTTGGAGTGGCTCAGTGGATTGAGCACTGGCCTGTGAACCAAAGGGTCACTGGTTTGATTCCCAGCTAGGGAACATGCCTGTGTTGTGGGCCAGGTCCCCAATTGGAGGCATACAAGAGGCAACCAATCTATATTTATCTCACATCAATGTTTCTCTCCCTCTCTTTCTCCCTTCCTTTCCCTCCCCTCTCTAAAAAGAAATAAATAAAATCTTTAAAAAGTTTTTGATGGACTTGATGTATTAGTAAAAAAATAAATCCAAGAAAAAAATTTCAGTATGTATAATTAATGTATAAACACAATTGGAGAAATGTAAGCAAATCTCAGTGTTTTCATACTGATGAGTAAATATTAAAGAAGAGCTTACTGTAACCAATGATTATCTCTAACCAATAATTACCTCTCCTCCCTTCCCTCTCTATTCCAAATCCTGTATCTTATGTTAAAATGTTTATGACAGTTCTTCACTGCTTGCTATGAATTTGAATTCCCAGTGGACCTAAGCAGCCTGTTATATAAGCAGGGCATCTGGTCAATATTTCAAATGCCCTGCATAATTCTGAGAGGCCTTTGAAGCCATATGATGTCATGGAAAGGCAATATAGAGGCAAAACTGATTACCTGTCTGTAGCCAGTAGAGTCATTTTTCAGGATGGCCTGCCACAGGCCTGAGGGCCATTGACCACTGCAACTGCCTCTCTAACCATAGGAAAGTGCAAAACAGAAATCTTTATCTTTGGACTAATTTTCTGCAAGTTTCTCACGAAAAAACTTCTGAAGAGCAGTTTGGACTGTAACTGAACTACCATAATGTTTACTTCCAGTATGCTTAAGGTTTGCAAATGTTTTTAAAAGGCCTTGCACTCAAAGCCATGAGACACTTCATGTTAATTATATGGAGGGAAAAATGGGCAGCATTATGTACAGACTTCTGAAAAGTTAGGTTCAATATTACAGACTAAATATTTCTCATCTGTTAAGATCAAAACCAAATTTAAGATTCACTGTAGCCCTGGCTGGCGTAGCTCAGTGGATTGAGCGCGGGCTGTGAACCAAAGTGTCACAGGTTCGATTCCCAGTCAGGCCACACACCTGGGTTGCAGGCCACGGCCCCCAGCAACTGCACATTGATGTTTCTCTCTCTCTCTTTCTCCCTCCCTTCCCTCTCTAAAAATAAATAAAGTAAAATAAAATAAAGAAATATTTGCTTTAAAAAAAGATTCATTGTTAGTGATTTCAGGAGTAAGTGCTATGAAATACTAATACTGTCTCAGAATAATCTTTTCCCATTGCTATCCCAAATTAGTGATACAATATCATAGTCAAACAAATCATTATGATTTCCACATATCAACTTAATAAAAATAACCTTTTAAAAATATACTTTTAATAATGCAGACTAGTTCCACCAACTTCATTTTTATGATTCAATCTTAAATCAGTTCTGGTTATTAGAAAGCTTTGGGTATAACTGTGAACTTCTGGTGATCTATACATTGATTCTTAAAAATGGCAAAGTTGTTATTTACATTCCTAGAGCAGTTTACTAACTGTCCCTGTCATAATCCAAAGGAATTAATATTTCTTAAAATATGTGCATTTCTCTGCTGAAATGTGACCTCCAGTGAACTGGCTAATATAAAGCAAACAGAGGGAGAAATCAACCCCTCTGGGCAATTAAATTGGTCTCATTAAATCACCACTACCCCATTTAGTATAATAAAAGAGCATAGTTTTATATTTTGAAAAACAAATATATCGCAAATAAAAATATTTTCATTAACATCATTCATATACTAGTAATAAATTAGCTTTCTTAAAATTTCAACTATTTACAAAATCCACCCTTATTTTCTGAGTTAACAAGGCTGACTTTTAAAAGTGTAATAAAACTTCTTGAAGTCTTCCCTCCAATTTAGATGGGACTTCTTAGTGGTTTCCAAGACAAAGCTTCTTGTTCTGGTGCAGCTCTTCATTCAGAGGGATGGGTCTCATCACACCATCTAGTGTTCAAGGATAACAATGTTAGAAAAAAGTCACTTCAAATATGTGGGTATTTGTTGAAGTCATATAGGTTGCAAGATCAAAATGATGCTTAAGTTAAAAATAAATATCCATTTATTTTCTCTTAAAATTCTCAATTGTTGAGAAACAGATCTAGGTAACTCACTCAGGTCATACAGTATCTGACCTTTAAAAAACCAGGTTCACTCTACAGTGTGAGGCTAGCAATCTAGCAATTCATCAAGTATTTTTTAAGGTGGTGACTGATGAGGGGGCCAACATGGAGGCATAGGCAGAAACACTTCACTCCCTTGCACAACCAAAATAAGGAAAGCAACCAAATTAATAACAAAAAACAACCAGAACTGCCAGAAAAAACATTTGCATAGAAGTCCAACAACCAAGGAGTTGAAGAAACATTCAACCAGGTAACAGCACCACAACACAGCAAGAAGGGTTTCCTGGCCCTGGTGAATACCCAAGGCTCTGCCCCTTACATGTAACATGTGCCAAGACAAAGAAATATGGCCCAGATGAAAGAACAGATAAAAACTCCAGAAAAAGAGCTAAGCAATGAGGAGATAGACAACCTATCTGATGCAGAGTTTAAAGTACTGGTAATCAGGACGCTCACAAAATTGGTTGAACTCGGTTTTAAAATGAACAAAGAAATGAAGGCTCCCCAAAGTGAAATTAAGGAAAATATACAGGGAACCAACAGTGAAGGGAAGGAAACTGGGACTCAGATCAATAATTTGGAACAAAAGGAAAAAAATAAGCATCTGACTAGAACAGAACGAAGAAACAAGAATGCAAAAAAAAAAAAAAATGAGAGGCTTAGGAACCTCCAGGACATCTTTAAACCTTCCAACATCTGAATCATACAGGTGCCAAAAGGAGAAGAGCAAGATATTGAAAACTTATTTGAAAGAAGAAAAACTTCTCCAATCTGGCAAAGGAAATACACTTCCAGGAATTCCAGGAAGCTCACAGAGTTCCAAAGAGGTTGGACCCAAGGAGGAACACACCAAGGCACATCATAATTATGTTACCCAAAATTAAAGATAAGGAGAGAATCTTAAAAGCAGCAAGAGAAAAGGAGACAGTTACCTACAAAGGAGTTTCCATAAGACTATCAGCTGATCTCTCAGAAGAAACCTTATAGGCAAGAAGGGGCTAGAAAGAAGTATTCCAAGTTATGAAAGGCAAAGACCTGTATCTAAGATTATTCTATCCAGCAAAGCTATCATTTAGAATGGAAGGGCAGATAAAGGGCTTTCCAGATGAGGTCAAGTTAAAGAAGTTCATCATCACCAAGCCCTTATTATATGAAATGTCAAAAGGACATCTTAAAAAAGAAGATGATCAAATATATAAACAGTAAAATGACAACAGACTCATAACTATCAACAAACTGAACCTAAAAAAACAAAAACTAAAATTAAGCAAACAACTAGAACAGGAACAGAATCACAGAAATGGAGATCACATGGAAGGTTATCAGTGGGGAGCCAGGGGGGGACAATTGGGGGAAAAGGTACAGGGAACAAGAGGTACAGGTAGGAACAAACTAGACAGGGGGAAGTTAAAAATAGTATAGGAAATGGAGAAGCCAGAGAACTTATATGTACAACCCATGGATATTAACTGGTATGGGGGGCGGGGTATGCTGGAGGATGAGGGGGATAATGCAGTGAGTAGGGGGATACAGGGGAGGAAAAAATTTGGGACAACTGTAATAGCATAATCAATAAAATATACTTAAAATATTTGGGGGGCAGTTATTATTTTTTTTTGGTGGAAGAAACAAAATGTATCTCCTTATCCTTCAGGGAGAGGAAGGAACTGCCTATAGGGCTGGGAGAATATGAGAGAATGCTGTCCCGCATTCCATACTCCTCCACTGGAAGACAGTCTTACCTCATTGTTCAGACAGAAGAGCTTGGCTTCAACCTCTTTCTGTATTTTGATTTTAATAGCTTAATTGGTCCAATAATTGCATTTGTTTAAAGTATACAATTTGATGAGATTTGAAATTAGTATACATATGAGCAACCATCACAGAAGTCAAGATGATAACATATCATGTCCAAAAGTTTCTTCCTGCCCCTCTGCATCTTTTTGGGTATCTGCCTGCAATCCAAACCTGTATATCCTGCTCTGCCCTGTCTTCCTAGTTATAAAGACACCTGGATCAGGTATAGTCTTGCCTTCATGAGGCAGATCTGGAAAGCCTATTCCCTCTCTTATTATGTAATACTTGAAACATAAAAAATATATATGTAATACTAATGGAAGTTTTAAAGTCTAATAATAAAATGAGTTATCAAGAACTTAATTCACAACCTAAAACTTAGAACAAAATTACTTCCTGTGTGCTTCCTGTGTGTGATCTTATCCCATCCCTCTTTATCCCCTTTAGAAGTAACTGCTATCTTAAATCCTGTGTTTATCATCCCATTGCTTCTTAAAAATAATTTTACCACATATAAACATATTATTTGGCTTCCTTTTGAACTTTATATAAAAGTTGTATCATAATGAATTTAGTCTTCTGCAACTTTATTTTTCATCAATATTACATTTCTAAGATCTATCCATGTTTAAAAATAGATGTAGTTCATTTATTTTCATTGCCATATAATATTCCACTGTAGGAATATACCGTATTTTTATCTAATCTCTGGAGATAAACATTTGTGTTAATTCTAGTTTTTGTTTTTAAGAACAATGTTGCTCTTTGTCTAAAAGACAAACTTTTATACAATATGTTGAGTCACAGAGTATACGATGTTCATCTTCACAAAGATAATGTCAAATTGGTCTCTAAGGTGGTTGTATACATTTTCAGTCCAACCAGCAATACATTAAAATTCCTAGCTGCCAGGACTGGGGCCATGGGTGCCCAGAGCTGCAGGCTAGACTCTTGTCTCCCGGGCCATGGCCAATCTCTATTGTCCCTCAGTGGCCTCCCTGCAGCCACCTCCAGCCTTCTTGAGCTGGGCCTTCCCTGCAGGGCTGATCCCGAGTTTTCTTGAGCATTCCTGGTGGGAGCATTGTGTGTGGACAGTTCAGTTCCCTGTAAAAAGAAACACAGGCTAGAGGAGGAGATGACTGTCTGATAAAAAAGAAAAGGCTAACTGATGCAGGGCTCTGTGCTGGTCCCAAAGACTGGAGAACTGCAGTGTGAAGTGGTCAGGAGGCTTGAGGAAACAGGACAGGATAATTGATGAAGAAGTCGAAGGTGACAGAAATACTAACCATTTCCCCAGTCTTGTCCTTTCTGATACCATGAAAACAGGTTCAAAGAGGGAATTTGATGAAGTCTACAAAGAAACTGATCAAATCCATGAGCCGTCCTTCCATGGAGTTTGTGCTCTGGAAACCTCTCCCTGAATTCCTTCATCTAATGCTAAGAACTACACAGGAGAGAGCCAAACTAAGCCTGCCTCAGCTGGCACTTCCTTCTCTAGAACCGAACTGTTTTTGGAACCTTGGCAAGCAGGGATGCCTATTTACAATAGTTTAGAGACAGCTGCTTGCACAGAGAAAGAACTGGAATTCTAGAAACCTGTTTCTATATTAAAGTTGTCAAATTTTAGAAGGGTCATGTGTTCAGTGGTGAGCCTACTTATATAATATAGGGACTTGAAAATTTTATGAAATGGGTGCAAGAATATCTCTGTCTGTGATTTGAAGTGGGACTCACATTTTGGGTAGCCATGTCTTAAATTCAACTTTCGCCAAGGAAGCTTGCCTCAAGGGAAAGCTGTTTTCTAGAGGGGTTATTATTGTGAGATTACAGTCTGTAAAGGCAAGTATGGTAAGTATATGTTTAAGTGTGGCTTAAATCATGTCACAGCGTAAACCATTCAAATAGTTGGAGAATACTCAGACATTTGAGATGAAAATGATGCACTAAGAAGGAAAGTGCTACTAAAATTGTACCCTGATGGTTGAATCACAACTTCATCTATAGATGTAAGCTCTGTTTATAGTGGTGAATGTCTATGCTCAGAGAGGAGGGAAGAAAGCAGTGGTTTAAGTCTATTGCTAAGAAAGTTAATAAACACTCTGACACTTGAACATTAGTTGTCAATTCAACATAGTTTAATTGATTAAAAGTCAGTAGCATTGTGGCTCACCTCTTTGCCTCTGAAAATACAAAGAAAAGCTTTTCCCTCGGGCTTTTTTACTTTGTGCTACTGTTGTTCCTTGGATTCCCTTGCATACTGATAAGCTGACCTATTCAGTAGTATTTACAACTTAATTAACTTTGAATGATAATTTAAAAGATTTTTTAGGTAAGCCATATGTAAAACGGCTATAGGAGAAGAATCTCCTAGGTAATACTGAGAAACTGCTTTGTCAGCTATGCACAGAATTGATAACCGGTAATTTTAAAAAATGTACTTGTATTAGCAAGTTGAGTTTTTAATGTTAATTTAGAAAACAATGATGAATAATTAACTGAGAACATATGAGCAAGTGATGTTGAGATTTACTGAAATAGCCAATTTGGTACTTCCTGTTACCAGGAAGTCTTCCTCTTGCAGACTTAAACCAACTCAAGGTATCCTTTGGGGATAATTAAAATTCTATTTTTTTTTTTTTTTTTTTTTTACTTCTCAAGCAGAAGTCTTCTGTATGGCAAGGACTCAGTAGTGCTAAGTGAAATGACAATTCCCTTAATGCTACAGAATATTCACCCTAACTTATTAAATGAGTGTAACTGTAATATTGGCACTTTCCTCACACAACAGGAAACAACCCTAGTTCTTTGTTTTCTAGGTTTCCTAACTCTTTGTAGGTGTGTAAAAAAAAAATGATTTAGGCCCCATATAGCTCCCAGGCATTTTTGGAACACATTCTGAAATAAATCTCCCTGCTTGCGGGAGATCGCATAAAAGTCACAAGCCTGTTTATTGGACTGCTTCTTCTGTTGCCTTTTGTTCCTGCTTTCTCTATTTCTGTCTGGATATTTTTAAAAAAAGATTTA